TCACCTGTCCTAATTCCGTCTAGTGACGAACACCTGCCCTCGCTTTGTCTAGTCAGGAAACCTGCCATAGCAACGTGCAGTAACGGGAATCTGTCATAGCTACGTCTAAAGACGGGCACCTGCCACATGGCAACTCTTAGTGACGGACACCTGCTATAAGTATATAGCGAATAATTTCCCCATACAGCTACGTCTAGTGATAGACATGTCATGGCCTTCGTTAATATAACGAACATTTGTCATACTGCTACGTCATTAGTGACTGATACTTGCGGTATAGCAGACATGGTGTTGTCTATGTGGCAGGCACTTTAATGTTTACAGTCACAGTTCATGCACTGGCAAACGATACATTAATGGACACTACGTTCCAAAACAAGTTTATCCAATTATCATAGCACTTAATCGATAAACACTCTTACAGCCTTCCACTGCTGTAAGTAATGTAACGTGTTGTATAAATGTTCACTGTTGCATTTCCTTGAGGGACATACCCTACCTGCAACAGTGTTTCACTGGGATTTGGGGACATGCTGTTCAATGTTACCGTACTTCAACTCACAATCTGACAGTCTTTGATGTTTCAGTTGTCGAACAAACACCTGTGCTGAAGTGCTGTAGTGTTGCTGTATTGTGATGGTGTCGTGTGATGAAGTGTTGCTGTATTGTGATGATGTCGTGTGCTGTAGTGTTGCTGTATTGTGATGGTGTCGTGTGCTGTAGTGTTGCTGTATTGTGATGATGTCGTGTGCTGTAGTGTTGCTGTATTGTGATGGTGTCGTGTGATGAAGTGTTGCTGTATTGTGATGATGTCGTGTGCTGTAGTGTTGCTGTATTGTGATGATGTCATGTGATGTAATGTTGCTGTATTGTGATGGTGTCGTGTGATGTAATGTTGCTGAATTGTGATGGTGTCGTGTGATGTAGTGTTGCTGTATTGTAATGATGTCATGTGATGTAGTGTTGCTGTATTGTGATGATGTCATGTGATGTAATGTTGCTGTATTGTGATGGTGTCGTGTGATGTAGTGTTGCTGTATTGTGATGATGTCATGTGATGTAATGTTGCTGTATTGTGATGGTGTCGTGTGATGTAGTGTTGCTGTATTGTGACGGTGTCGTGTGATGTAGTGTTGCTGAATTGTGATGGTGTCGTGTGATGTAGTGTTGCTGTATTGTGACGGTGTCGTGTGATGTAGTGTTGCTGTATTGTGACGTCATGTGATGTAGTGTTGCTGTATTGTGATAATGTCATGTGATGTAATGTTGCTGTATTGTGGTGATGTCATGTGATGTAATGTTGCTGTATTGTGACGGTGTCGTGTGATGTAGTGTTGCTGTATTGTGACGGTGTCGTGTGATGTAGTGTTGCTGTATTGTGATGGTGTCTTGTGATGTATGTAATGTTGCCGTATTGTGATGGTGTCGTGTGATGTAGTGTTGCTGTATTGTGACGGTGTCGTGTGCTGTAGTGTTGCTGTATTGTGACGTCATGTGATGTAGTGTTGCTGTATTGTGGTGGTGGCATGTGTTGTAGTGTTGCTGTATTGTGACGGTGTCGTGTGCTGTAGTGTTGCTGTATTGTGACGTCATGTGATGTAGTGTTGCTGTATTGTGGTGTTGTCATGTGATGTAGTGTTGCTGTATTGTGACGGTGTCATGTGATGTAGTGTTGCTGTATTGTGACGGTGTCGTGTGATGTAGTGTTGCTGTATTGTGATGTAGTGTTGCTGTTTTGTGATAGTGTCATGTGATATTGTATTGCTGTATTGTTATGGTGTCTTGTGATGTAGTGTTGCTGTATTGTGATGGCATGTGTTGTAGTGTTGCTGTATTCTGATGGTGTCATGTGATGTAGTGTTGCTGTTTTGTGATAGTGTCATGTGATATTGTGTTGCTGTATTGTGATTGTGTCGTGTGTTGTGGTGTTTGTGTATTGTGATGGTGTCGTGAGATGAAGTGTTGCTGTATTGTGATTGTGTCCTGTATTGTAGTGTTTCTGTATTGCGACGTCATGTGATGTAGTGTTGCTGTATTATGAGGTCATGTGATGTAGTGTTGCTGTATTGTGATGGTGTCATGTGATGTAGTGTTGCTTTCTTGTGATAGTGTCATGTGATGTAGTGTTGCTGTATTGTGACGTCGTGTGTTGTAGTGTTGCTCTATTGTGATGATATCGTGTGATGTAATGTTGCTTTGATGTTGTCGCCTGCAATAGTGTTGCTGTATTGTGACGGTGTCATGTGATGTAGTGTTGCTGTATTGTGACGGTTCGTGTGATGTAGTGTTGCTGTATTGTGACGTCATGTGATGTAGTGTTGCTGTATTATAAGGTCATGTGATGTAGTGTTGCTGTATTGCGACGTCATGTGATGTAGTGTTGCTGTATTATGAGGTCATGTGATGTAGTGTTGCTGTATTGTGATGGTGTCGTGTGATGTAGTGTTGCTGTATCGTGATAGTGCCATGTGATGTAGTGTTGCTGTATTGTGACGTCGTCTGTTGTAGTGTTGCTCTATTGTGATTATATCGTGTGATGTAATGTTGCTGTGATGTTGTCGCCTGCAATATTGCTGCTGTATTGTACGGGTGTCGTGTGCTGTAGTGTTGCTGTATTGTGATGGTGTCGTGTGCTGTAGTGTTGCTGTATCGTGATGGTGTCGTGTGATGTTGTGTTGCTGTATTATGATGTCATGTGATGTAGTGTTGCTGTATCGTGATGGCATGTGTTGTACTGTTGCTGTATTGTGAGGTCATGTGAGGTAGTGTTGCTGTATCGTGATGTCATGTGTTGTAGTGTTGCTGTATTGTGAGGTCATGTGAGGTAGTGTTGCTGTATCGTGATGTCATGTGTTGTAGTGTTGCTGTATTATGAGGTCATGTGAGGTAGTGTTGCTGTATCGTGATGTCATGTGCTGTTGTGTTGCTGTATTATGACGTCAAGTGCTGTTGTGTTGCTGTATTATGACGGCGTCAGGTGCGCGTGCATTTCGATGGTTAAGTACGAAATGACTTCAGTGGGTATACGCAGGGCACCTGTCTGAATCTACACGTGAGGAATGCATCTACACGGGGAGCTATAATATAATATATATGTATATGTTTTATGTGTGTATGAATGTATCAGCTGAACTGAACACAATTACACAATTATTTGTAATATCTACCACATTGCGCGTACAGGAAAAAAAGGACTACAATACAAGTTAGGCCGCCATGCATAGTCTACGCGTCTTATACAGGGGCATTGGAACCTCGCGGTATAACGAAGACCAAGCAAAACGTAGTAAACCGCAACTCGCTGAATATTTTGTTAAGTTCTTTGACTGTGTGACATGAACACATTGATTGACAACACCAGTCGTGGGGTCGTGGGAGGGTTGTCACGTGACACTTGAGTATAGGTCTATGGAGATGTGCCATGTCAACAGCGTATGTATAGCGAGTGGCCTTGGGGGGGGGGGGGGGGGGGAGGGGAGAGGCGGGAATGCTGGGAGGGGAGTTTATATACAATGTGGTTAGAGAAAAGGGCTTAGCCTAGGACGGTTTGGGGATTGGGAGGGCGGGGGAGGCTCTTAAGGGTGCAGGCCAGCTGATGTATCTCCTTTCAATGAACTGATAACACATAAACGTGTGTCCCATAGCAAGAGATAGGACAACTAACTTCAGTCTATTTATCAAACAAATTGTAATAGTGTTGCTGACAGGGACAGGTAGCGCCATATGTATCGATTAGAAGGCACATCCTCTGATCAGAAATAGCTTAATAGCTAGGACCTGCATTGGTTCGCCTGTACCAGCCATCTGATAGATAGAGGGCAGACTGATGGCCGACATTCATAGAGATTCCTGTCCCTCCTTTGTTACACGTGTATGTGTGCGTACGGTGTGTGGGGTGGTGGTTGTTCATTGAGGTGTGTTTGATAGGTGTGTTTAGGCTATGGTCATAAAATTGGCATTAGACGTAGACGTTTTGTGTCGTTACGGTGGCATAGCAGGCTGTGTGATTCGGGGCCCACAGATTGGGATGTTCGATAGTCTTAATGTGAGAGGGATAGGCAACAGGTGTACTTGGCAGAATCTTTAAGCAGGGTGGCATGTCAACACGGTATGGCTAAAACAGATGGAGGCAGCAGATCCATGACCGCATTGCATCCGGCCACGCTGAAAGATTCCAGGCCGCTTTAAAGAGGGACGGGTCGGGCTGCAGAGCCTTGTCCCCAATTCCAGTCTGGGTCTAGACTTTATAATTAGTGCCTTGTGTGGAACTGAGAAATCGTGTGTAATTAACTGGCAGATTATATTAAAAAAATTAGCTGGCATGCAAACAAACAAACAAACTGGTGTTTGAATGAATTGACTCAACCAAACACTGCATACTTACCCGTGATTTGTACCCCTTTAATGCGTAAGTTTCCGTGTGAAACTGTAAGCGGTGCTTTATACTGAAATAATGGCACCGATACCATTCCTTCAGTGGTGATGTTATTGTTAGTACCAAGATGAGGAAATTCGGAAATCTTAATATGAATATTATCACTTACAGTTGGTGAGCTACACGAATATTGTAAGGGGATGTCCTCCGCCAATCATCGTCACCCTTCTTAGGGGTAGAGAGCAATCTCTATTTATAGCCTGGTCAATCTGGTTCCATCCAGTTTTAAGTTTTTTTAGCCTTATAGGGATGTAGTTTATTTAAAATGATAAACTTTATCTGATCAGAAAAGGCTGAATATTGTCCCGAATAACACAGATGCAGGACAAGTAATTTACATCATCTACTTAAATTATCGATATTCTATTGATTAAATGTTGGCGGTTTCAAGGAATTGAATGTATGGAAATTACAGTGAAAAAATACCCCTGGTACATTAGAACACACAGAGTGGGTCTAGCATCCTGTGTTATGGGTTAGGACAGGCTGAGACAAGTCTGTAGCTTGGCGGATGAGGGTCACTCATTCCTGCTTGCATCAGTGAGGCTTGTGAAGCTGGCTGCATGCTCACTCGATACGACCAACATTTCCCACCGACTGTTCTCTGTGAAGGCCTGTCATATCAGGGGTACCGACTGTAGCACTTGCACTGCTGGGTCTGAAGGAAGATTAACAGATTATGAACCCATGTTGTACGCGAGTTGTCAAACTGGCTGGTACTGACAAGGTAGGAAGTAGCGATTAACCACGGAACGAAACTCTCCATTTTGACACCCAGTCTGTCAGGTTTCCTTCCAAAATTCACCGGTTAGGAATTTGTGACAGTTGATTTTGATTTTGGATTCGGGAAACAGCTTTATTCGGGTCAGTACATGTGTATTTGAATGTGTGTAAGACTTGATAACACTTGGCAAAACAAGCTCTGAAAAATAGTTTTGAGAGCGACTTCGACACCGGCTCCATGTGCTATTGCACAACGGTGCGCCATATTGGATCGAATAGTTCGGCCTCGAAGTGAAACTGACACGCAAGTTGCCAGAAATAGTAACACTGAAGCGCAACGATTGGTCCACAGTGACGGGTTTCTAAAACGAACCTGGTCACGTGACGGTTAGTATATAAGCAAGTGGGATTCCCCTGGCCACTTGTTGTTGCCTGCTCGATCGGACTGTGCACATCGTGGTGGTTAGGCCCTTGAACCACCGACGATTGGACTCCGAGGCTCCCAAGTTGTTGTCCACGCCGCTTCTGTGAGGACTGCGTAACTTACAGACTCTAGGTGAACAACGAGGCCAGTCGGAGTGTTGGGATCACTCATTAGCTTGCTGACGGCCTTCACTCGTATTGTCTTGCTGCTCGCCGGCTGCCAGCTGATCTGCTAGCCGTCAGGTCGCTTGTGACCTACTTACACAGGAGAGAAGAGAGAGCACGGCAACACCCGGCAGTCAGACAGCCATTGCTCTTAACTCGGGTACAAACAGACGGCAGACATGGAGAGCTTAGCTGAGGAGTACATTAATACATTCGATCTGGACCAGTTGGACTTTGCTGAAATCAAGCGTGAGTTTGACGGGAGGGTCCGGTCGGCTTGTTGTGTAGCCGATGCCCCTGGCCCAGTGAGCCCTGCAACCCCTGAATGCTGTCTACCTCCCTCCCCCGCGCTCACGGACGATCTTCCCAGCCCCAAGGAGCAGAAATCTTTGCTGGAAGATCTCAACTGGCTCCAGTGGAGTGCAGGTCTGCAACTGAACGCCCTGTGTGCTCCTGACTTCTCGCCAGAACATGCCCTAGAGGAAATCATAAACTCAGTGGAAAGTGCTCCTCCGTCTGTTGCAACGTCGATAGCGGACGACGAGGAAGACGATGACGAAGACGAAGACGAAGACGACGACGACGACCTGATTACCGATTTTGATGACATTTCTGACGTTGACGAGAAGGTGAAAAAAGAACTCGACGACTCGTCTCAGGTGCCCCAGTCCAAGTCACGTGCGAAACATGCTCGTGGAGAGCGTGCGACTCGTCTTGGTGATGAGGAGTTGGTGACATTACCGGTGCGGGAGCTCAACAGACGCCTGCAAGGGTTCCCTAAAGACGAGGTTCTCAGGCTCAAGCAAAAACGCAGGACACTTAAAAACCGAGGCTACGCACAAAACTGTCGCTCTAAACGTCTGCAGCATAAATACGAACTAGAGAACACTAATACGACATTGCAGCAGCAGATTACATCCCTGCAGCGTCAGGTGAACCACTTGACACGTGAACGAGACTTGTACAAGCAGCAGTGTGGCCTCCTGAGGTCACAGGTCAAGGCAGCAACACCCCCCCGGGGGAGTCGGGATGGCTCTGTCAGCAGTAGCTACCCTAGCTCTCCCGACGACAACTTCTAACCCTACTTCCCTCCACCCTCCCTCCACCCAAGCTGACAGATGGGGACTTCATGCTGTGCCTAAATTCTGTGATTCTAATGCTAATTCATTTTTTCTACATGGAGATTATATTTAGACTGTGCGTGCAAGTAAGGAGTGCTCGTGCCCGGTGCACGTGAATTGATGTTGCCAGAACGAGGATTGAGTGCTAGCTAAGACCGGCAGCGTGCAGCCGACATGGAAACCTCGCTGTTCAAGACTTGGATACTTGCCAGCTCAGCTGATCGTCTAACCAGTCCTGCCTCAGCGAAACTAGGTCATCACATTCACTACACTACAAATACGTTATATATTCTGCTAGACTTTTCATCAGTCTCCTCTACAATGCAAAATAAGTGTATCTACTGCAATGACTGTGCAACTAGGCCTACCGACTACACAATTCACCATGGACTTCATGCCATATGCTGTTGGTCGACTCACGGCGCCTCCCGCTTGCTGGAAGTGTATTGATTTTCTAGGTAGGCAACATATAGTCGATGTGTCTTCTTTGTGTCGAACCCACATACAAACTGAACGCTTCGATGAGTTATCGATTATGCCGGTGTTCCACAGATGTTCAGCTGCACACTGGCAAATAATCCAATAGTTTCTACATAGTGCTCTAATCATGAAAGTAATGTAGTGGCTTTTGGTAACTTAAAACACTGTTGTTACAATGAATTGTTGAAATTGTTCTTCAATTTTATTAATTATTGTTGAGTGTTAAGACCAGAATGCAGACATCATGCTATTTGATCATATCAAACACATGTTTATTGTTTCAATAGTTTTCAAAGTCATGTCTCAAATAGTATGATGTTTGCCAAACGGACTGACAATTTATCTTTGAAAATCTTGTGATAAGAATATTCTGCCTCGAGCAGACTGAAGCTGTGCTATTGCTGTATTTAGTGCTGAGTTTCATGGTTAATTGTGTGATAGCGTGTCACGTGACACTTTTACATGCGTACAGCAGTCTCCACTTATTTGTTAGTACAGTCGAACCTTGTTGTGTCGAATTCCGGTGGTCTCGAACTCATTTGGGAGCCCCTGTGTATCCCATTTAGCTTAACATTTTCCTGATGTCTGGAACCCCGGATAACTCGAACTTTTTTCCAGGTCCTCACGTGTTCGAGACAACGAGGTTCAATTGTAGATACCTATGTTACACCATATGAAAGTTTAAATGTTTATATTGTTAATTGATACTATTTAGTAGTTGATATTTTTATGGTTATTCCTGTAATTTAACCTGTTTTAGTTCACTGCATGTTTGATGTTCGTGTCGACTGTTGCAGAACTAACCTGATAATAACACTGAACATATCCACGTGTTAAACGTGTACATAGTTCACTGCTGCACGTATACAGTTACACACGTGCGTGTGTCCCATTCTGTCACATCTCCTGTGCATTCTCTCACCAAATAGTGCTGAAGCACTACTGGATGTCTCCGGTGTGAAGACCTGACCAAGGGCAAACAACTCAGTAGTTTGCACGCGGGACACCTTCTTGACTGTGATATATGTAAATGTCAGTGCACTGACAGCCATGTTGTCATGGTGATGAATCTTTACTGCAGGAATGTGCTGTTATACCAATATACTGTCGGTTGAAGGCGACTGACGTGTACCGGACTTGTAAGCCTATTTTGTAATGCTTATATTTCTCCCCCCGATTGAGTGCTGGGGAGGAGTTGATCTCGGACAAACCGGCAGATGACGATTGACTATGAAACTGTGTGTGTATGTATGAAGTATATAAGATTAAAACGACAAAAAAAGCAAAAACTAACATAAAAAGGGCCACAACAACCAAATACCTTGTATACGTTTATCTACTTGTATGTATGTGTATGTATGAAAAAAAAAACGAAAAAAAATCTTATTCCTTGCTGTGGAATGGGGCAAAAAAAAATAGCAAAAGAAAAAAAATATACAAAAATAAAAAAAAGCTTGGACGAGCAGATGTAACACTACTGTTGCTGGGTCCAGCTCCCGAACTTGCCAGTCAAATTTTGTTGTCTCATTTGGGACAATCGCACCCAACAAGGTGTGACCAAGGCTTGACCAGGTCGGTTACCTCCCTTGGCCTCGCGTGAATTCCATCCTCACGTGCAGGCTGAAGGGGTTGTCATGAATGATGTAAATCCCATGTCTGCCGAGCGAGTCGCCACCATATTGTCATCTCGAGGCACCTCCTCGGTGGGACCTTTTGTCAGGTTCAGTGATGTGTTGATTCATTGTTGCAAACTGTCGTAAGTAAAGCTCTTAGTTGAAACTGAAAGAATGTGATATTGCTTATGACACTGACACTTATGTTAACATGTTACCATTTGCTGTAAATAGTGTACATACCTGTTACGTGGGAGTTACCTCCCCTTGTTATGTCAGTAGGCGTCAGACTGAATGACCTGTCAAGAGTGTATCACGTATGTCTCAGAGCGTGACCCCCACCAGGGGGCGCGTTGTTCACTGCATTTGTTGCTATTAGCTTTACCTATGGTTCAGATTGTCAGCTGACCTATTTAAAGCATTAAAGCATAAAAAAAATGATTTTCTCGTTTTGTCTTGTATTTGTGATGTAGCTTACGGTGACACTGGGCTTACCCACCGTCAGAGTTGTGTCCTTAGGCGTGCGAGAGACATGTGATCGTGGGTCAACGCAGTTTATTGAAATAGGTTATAGCACCGTGTTTTCAACATTGGAGATATTATTTTAAGGTAGGTGCCCAGTGGTGTACGCGTTCGCTAATAACCCAGAAGAGCAGGTTCGATTCCCTACATGGATATGCCGCTGATCCTTCCCCGCCGGGATATTGATGAGAGTGCCAGCCCCACTCTCTAGGCATGCGGCATAACTCTTAATTTGTCTTGGCATCCAGTGTCAGTGTACGAACAATTTAGACTGGGATTTTCACGTAGAACGCATCACCACGCGTGCTCACAAGCTGCGAGTTAAATATTTTATTGAGTTGTCACTATTTGCACACAAAAAAAGGGAAGAAAATAAAAATAAAAATTTCACCATTCGAATATTGGCATCCGCGTACCAGATAAATATTTCATGGTATCAAGCGTTATGCACTGCTGCATCCGTCGTACCTAAAGGAGTTTGGCACTCTTATTGATGGAATATTGCTAAAAGTAAATAAATTGAGAACAACATTGACTCGTTTTCGGCTTAGTTCTCACAATTTAGAAATTGAACGTGGACGACATTATAATATTCCTCGTGAATTTAGAAAATGTAAAGTTTGTAACTTAAACCATATCGAAAATGAATATCACTTTTTGTTAATTTGTCCAGCTTATAGCCATCTTAGGCAAAGTTAAATAAAATCTAAATTTTACATCTTTCCAAATATTCTGAAGTTTAATACACTACTGTCATCGCAAGACCCTATTATCAATATGAATACAGCAAAATACTTGTTTTCTGCCAATGTTGTAAGAACACAAATACTCCAACATGTATAATGTGCAATTATGTTAAAACTGCTTTTGTTAAAAACAACAAATGTGTATTATATCTTATACTGTTTGCACCTTAATTGTATTTGGTCTGTACAAAAAGGCCCGTGGCCTACATGTACTGAAGAGAGTGAAGAGCTAAAAGGGGCGTAGACAACTGCGGATTCCTTATGCTTGTGTTTTAGTATTTATACTATAATAGTAGATTGTACAGTTAGGACACACAAATTTTAGTGTCGTTGCACGATGTACGATTCTAAACAAGCTCTTGTCAAAACCTTACCAGACTATAATTTTATTAAAATCTCGCCGTGTGAGGAGCAGTCAAAAGTAAAATGAGTTATAACTGTATTCTGAAACAACTTTAGTTTGATAATTTTGATAGGAAAATGACTATCGTTGCTGAAATGTCAGTGTCGGTTTGTGGCAAGCTGTGTCAATAGACATAAGTTAAATATGGATTATTATAAATGGGCAATGGCGTTAAGTGCTGCAATTACATTTCAGTTTGGGATGGTCGATACAGGGATATTGTATAGACAAGCACTGCTGCTATAGATGTTAAATAACCCAATGGCCACGCGTGAACTAGTGGTTTAGCTCGTCCATATTTGCGTCCCTTGATCCGCTGGTCGTGGTTCGAATCCAAGATCTGCGCCGACCATGCTCCGTCGTAGCCTGCCAATAATTGTTTTCAGTAGTAAAGATCTGTGACGTTTTACGTTGGTCTTTCCTCCAACATAAAACTAACACACCGTGATATACTACGGTTATAACGAACACGCTTATAACGAACTGACGGATATAACGAACTTACTTTTTTGTCCCTAATATTTGCTGGAGTTATGATGTAGTTATGCTTATAACGAACTACGGTTATAACGAACTAAAATTAGTGGTCCCTTTGAGTTCGTTATAACCGTAGTTTACTGTAATTGAAATACTTTGGCGTTAACCACTCCTCCAACAAGTGATACAAACGGCTCTGCCCCAAGACGGCACCGTGAGGACAGGACATACACAACTCTCCCCATATACATACCGTGAAGAGGCTTAGCTCCAGCGTAGATTTAGGTCGACCTGGGGTGAAATGAGTGGGGCGATATAGGGTTTCCTACACTTGTGTCAGGGTGCTTGCATGCGTTATAGTGGTCTTTTTAGTACTGGTAAACATGATGGCGTTTATCGAAGCTGCTCAGTGGTCGTTTCCCTAAACCGCTGTTTACATATTGCACATAATCTCCCCAACTCGAATCTCACTGTAAGGTTATGGTTATTTGTGTTGCTTAACGCCGCACTCAGCACTACTCAAGCTATATGACGGCGGTCTGTAAATAATCAAGTCTGGATCAGACAATCCAGTAATTGACATCATGAGCATCGATCTACGCAATTGGGATACGATGACATGCATCAACCAGGTCAGCGAGCCTGACCACCCGATCAGGTTAGTCGCCTCTTACGACAAGCATAGTCGCCTTTTACAGCAAGCATAGGTTGCTGAAGACCTATTCTACCTCGAATCTTCACGGGTCTCTCACTGTAAGGATACAAGCTGGTCATATGTTGTTGATAATGTCATATAAAAAATGGCATATAATACACAACTATAGTGCGACGGGTCGATTCCTCGGGTACAATGTGTGAAGCCCGTTTCTGGTGTCCCCTGCCGTGATAGTACTGGTATATTGTTAAAAGCGGCGTAAAACCATACTTTCTCTCACATCTATGCAAGTCTAGCATACCTTGTACACATACTTACAGAGTTTGAAGATAATGAATTGTATCTTATTTGGATATTTTTCGTTGTAACATTTCATTTAAAATAATTGTTATCTTTACTCGATTTCTCCGTGTATTATATATATCTTCTTTTTATTATCACAAACCATCATGTAATGGCGCTACCCCACACTGGATAATCGAGGTTGGCAATATTAACCTTAACGCTTTCCACATCATGCCATGGACTGTCCCTTTGTAGTGATGGAAACGTATAGTATTCCACGGAGTCGTGTGTCACCAGCAACAAACTCGCGATATGCTGCAGCCCCTGTTATGTATAATATGTCTCACATGTGGCACGTACAGGGCGGAACTCGAACAGAGTTGTTGTCTGAGGTTAGACCCTACCACCCCCACTAGCTGGTTGGAATGGACTCAACCATGCACTGAAGCTTGAGAAAAGTAATGTTTTGTGTCGTAATGCCTGCGTAGATATTCTACCTTTTGAAAACATATATTTTGGTTGGTGCTATAGTAGTGTGTATGTGTGTGACCAATAACTAAAGTTGTATGTATATAGTTCCCTAACTCTGTAAAGGACCTTGGGGTCTCTGCACTCTACCACAGCTGGAGCGAAGCGGGGATATTGGGTTCACCGACCTCCAACGTGAGCGGCCTTAAACTCTCACAAAGGCCGCATTTGTTTTTCTCCTTCGAATGAGAATTCAACGACCCCCAAAATGACGTCTAATTACAGTTTATTGATTCTGCCAAATTCAAATAGAATTTTATAATGGGAAACGAATATGTGAATGAAATTATGTTTATATTGTATTTTCGTGAAATAACGAGTGTTTATAAAATCGATGCTCAGGCCAGTGTACCAGAAAATATGATTCCATAGGTTAATGTTTCCATGATGTTTAGTGGAAGATAATCTCTAAGTCGAGAGAGACCGTGTGTTGTCACTGTCAGTGCGAGTTACTGAGTATCACGAGAAGAGGTGAGGTGAGGTTGGGTGAGGTGAAAAGGCTTTGACGCCGTGTTCAAGATTAATCCATTTACAGCGACGTGCATGCACACGTGTCTGTGTATGGCTGCTTGTACTAGTCCTGGACCCATCCAATCAAAGTCCATTTATGAGCGAGAGAAATTGTGTGCTAATCTAGTGATAACAGAATGGGATTGCTGACGTCGCTTCCGAAACAAAGCTTTGGTGTGAATGGGTTCTAGGTATATATAATTATATATCATAATAAAATGGGTAAGGTGAAATGGGGTTTAACGTCACGTTCAAGATCATTGCACTTAAATAGCGACGTGCATAAACGTGTGTCTGTGTCTGGCTGTTTGTACTAATGTTAGTGCTAGCCCACTGAGATGCCATGGCGCAGTTTAACATGGATACCATTCAGACACAGTATGCCGACAGTCCTTGCTTTATACCATTGATGCCGAGCGTCAGGCAGGGTAACAACAACTATAGAGTGACGTCACACACAAACGGTCCATTTATCATTCACGATAGGAATACGGCACCAATTAGGGGTGCGTTGCAAAGCGCCAATCGCTTGCAAGCGATGTACAGCGATTCATTACAACAGTGCGCTAACTTTCAGCCGCTTGCAAGCGAAACAATCGCTGGCTGAGGTCGCTTCGTTCTCAAACCAAAATGGCGGCTCACTTTGACAGCGGAACAAGAAATTCTTGACTGGATCAACGAGGAAATGAGCAAAGGCAGCGAAGACCCCATCATCCTCAGCCTGCTTTACATCTTCAAAGTAGTCATAAATTCCATCAGCTCGTCATCGAGCCTCTTCTATTACGTTCTTCATTACGTCAAGGCAACCAAGCGCTAGTTGCGCCGCCATTTTGGAAGAGTGGGCAAGCGCTTCGAACTGTTGCAGACACCAGGATGAGCGATTAATTTGCTTTCTTTGAGCGATTCGTGGCTTGCAACGCGCCCCTGATCACAAAGAAGAGGTAATCGACAGCCTCGTTCGAGCGTGTGTGACGTCACTTCCGCGATTCCGGTAATAATGCGCCTCTTGTACCCCATGCTTGTTGCCAGATCCAACTAAATCGGGATTGAGCGGGCACAATGGATTCCGATAGAGTGATTCATACCCCGATGGAGTGGACCATTGGTCGTGGTCTGTCTATGGTCGTTTGAAGGTCGCTGTGTTATAACGATTGTATTTGAGGCAGCGCCGTAAAACAGCATTCACTCACTCGTGACACACACATCATATGCTGTTGGAAGTTGATTTCCTTCTGAGGAGCTTGAGAGAAAAGTTGACAATCTGACAGTTGGCACGGTGAATAATATCCTCTGCTACAACTTGACCCGCTCATGC